GACGGACAGACGGATGGATGGACGAACAGACAGAATGCGACAGCGGCGGCACTTTGGGAAAGGTGGTGGCGGCTTTTCCCAACGTGCTGCCACATTCGAGGCGCTGGCTCCAGTTTGGTACAACAGTCAATGGGCCTGCAGGGCTGGCACCTTGAACGCCCCCTGCCGCCACTTAATGCCCCTCTGCTGGCCCCTTGGGGATGCTAAGAAGTGGCAGGGGGCGTTCGAGGCTCCGGCTCCGGAGCAGTGCAACAGTCAATGGGTGAGCCTGCAGGGCTGGTGCCTTGAACGCCCCCCTGCTGCCTCTTAGCACTCCCCTAATGCATCCCATGCCCCCCCAGGGGGCAGTACCACCCACTTTGGAACCACTGATATAGAGTAAGGGACTCAACACGCAACCCTGTGGTGTACCAGTGTTAAAAATAAGGGCTGAAGAGATATGATTACCTAATCTGACCCTCTTGTGAGCGGACAGATAGGAAATCCATAATCCAAAGGCAGATTGAATAAGAAAGTCCAAGGTCCAGAAGTTTAGATACTAGTCTGTGTGGAAGAATTGTTTTAAATGCAGAAGTAAAATCTAGTTGCAGACATTGCAGGTAAACATGGTGAAAGTTGAAATCTTGAAGTACATACAGGTAATCCTCATTCAGCAACTGCCTAATTTAGACACTATTTGCAATTATGACAGTGATGAAAGAATAACTTTATGACCAACTCTCGCATTTATTTTGCAGATCTTTAAAGCAAAAGCAAGCAGAAAATCATAATCATAATTGCAGTTTCACTTTGGCTGTTTAACTTAATGACTGATTTGCTGGTCCCAGTTGTGGTTGCTAAATGAAGACTACCTGACGTTCATAACTGTCATTTTTTTCCCATTGATAACAAGTACAAGGTTTAATCCAGGGATTTTAAAGTTCACATACAACAAGGTTGAGCAGTGAGTATACACATACACAGCGAAGAGAATAAATCCGTATATGGGAGATGGAAAATATCATTTTTTTTCTTCATTTTAGGGAGAAGATTCTGTTCCTTCACTATTAAAGAAATTTATTTGGTGGATTAAAATACACAATAAATCTGAGAGTAGGATTAATCCTGGAAAATTATGCTGCTTTTTGCCTTCTCCCAGTGATTTCAGTATCTTCCAATATTTCTTGCTATTGTCTCAGGAAAGTTCAGATTGGATGAGAATTTAAGCCCTCATCAATGGTCTTGGTTGACTTTGCTGTCTTGGTGCTTTTAGCAGCGTTGGAGCGATTATCATTTCCCCCTAACCTAGTTACTATTAACTAAACTGGACTCCTGAGGACTCTGCAAGCAAATCCTTGAATATCTATTATATCTGTGCTGTCCATGTGGTATGTCATTTTAACAGGGATAAAAATACAGAGACACCAATGGATCACTTCTTACATATTAGTCATCACAATGTAATTTTAACAAGGATGAAGACAAATATAAATCTTGTGCAAAATATATAAATGAACCAGAGGGGTTGGTTTTTTTTCAAACCCCTAAAACAGAATTATCTAAAAACATAAAAGGTATGTTCTATATGTTTGACTGTCTCCAGGGAATGCCTACAGGTATGCACACACTAAAAATGCCCAGTATTTCATAAAGATTTTCAATACAGTAGCTGCCTTATATTTCTTGTGTTTGTTCCTGTGTTCATTTCTTATATATTGAATTGATCACCCTAGTTCAGCTATAGGAAGATAAGCAAGCAGAAAGTGATATAAGTTCCATAACATCTGGCATAAATCCAGTCAAATCCAGTTCCAGTTTCCTGTCTGGTACATTGTGTACATTAAAATAAAATAACATAAAGCTGTATATTAAAATTCAGCCAAGAAATCACCAAGTAGTCATTATGTTTTCTCTATTTTATTAATAAAACAGATTTTTTTTGCAACAATTTATTAAAAATTTATTTTCATGCAGTATAAGGGGTATACAAGAAATTCTCCAAGTTCTCTCACTCTTCCTCTCTGTTGCTTCTTAAAAAATAATTCTTACTGGTCCGGTCTGGGTTGAAGCATTTGTGCACTGTCGTTGTTGGAAAATGCCATTGGGGCATAGCCTCATCATAATTTTTTACAGGACATTTTTGCTGCAGGATATTTAAAAAAAAAAACCCAGAAACATTGAATAGCTATAGTCATTTTATGGGTCTTATTTTCTGCAGGAAATTAGAAAAGAAAAGAAAACTTGTGGGAGAAACTACAGTTGCATTTTAGACAAAGAATGTACTGCATGATTTAAACCTAAGAAACAGCACACAGTCAGTAGTCACAAAGAGTTACAGACACACACACTCACCGCCAAGAGTCCAATACTTTTGATTTTTTTTGTTTTGTTTCCTGCTATGTTGGAATAATATCTTCTACAGAAATGTTTGTGTATACATTATATACAGTATTATTGTCCTTTTTTGAAAAGTAATATTTATTTGTATTAAATAAAGTCCTGATGAAATTTATTCATACATTAAGAGAATACTGTTAACATACATGCATGCACACGCACAAGTGCGTGCATGCATGTGCACACCCACACCAGACAACACCTTCAGTGGTTAGTGCTCAAACGGAGTAATGTGTTCTACTTCCTTTGTGGTAAATTTACTCACTATGGTTCTAACCCTTCCAGATCCCCTCCTGACCTCTCCATGATGTGCGTTCAGGGAGCATTTCTGTGATACCTTCAAGGGAGTAAAATTCATGGGAAATATAATCAGGCAGGTAGGATCAGCGGACATTGGCAATGACTGGGTTGGCATGTCTCTTTCTTGTGCAGGTACTAAATGCTATTATGGGGACATTTTTGTGGAATGGGTTCATTTCTGTGCGAGGACAGAAAGTGCAATAGAAATAAAACTACTTCTTCACTACTACTTCTTTTACAAGCTATAATTAATCAAAAGGTGGCCAGCTTCAATGTTGAACACTGCAGTTTGGCAAACTGGTATCCATTATAGTGTGAAAATTGTATTTAAGGAAAACAAAAGTGACCTGACAGGTTTAGTTTGTTTGTTTTTCTTGTCTGGCTAATAGTTTAGGTCCAGTGCCAGATTTTATTTTATTTTATTGCTATTTTAACAGCAATATAAGATAGTCTGAATCAATAAGTTACTGGGACAAAGGAAGAACAGGTTTGTTTGTTTTTTAGTGGGGAAAGGTATTTTGCCTGTCTTCTGCAACAATCAGGTTCTGGAATGTGCTTTTGTGCCTTTCACACGGTTAGGCACATCTTTAACACAGCATGCATTGGGATTTAAGCTTGCTCAACATCCTGACAGACTGTGTGATTGATGCCTTCCCAAACAATACACATATTTTAACTGGTAGAACTATACAATATGTCACAAGCAGCTCCGCTAGTTAAAAACAAAACCAACAAACCTAGAGGCATGAAAAAGCATAGACTTAAGCTTTCACTCAATCATCCTAGGATGCAGTAAGACAAAGGCAATCTTAAGCCCCTCTCGTACTGAATGCACAACCTGCAGCAGTGAAGGTATTGTGGCCCAGAACTACATAGCAATTGGAAGTTTATCCAATGTGGCATTTCTCAGATGTTTGGCCAGGAAAGAAATGCATCTCCTGAAGTTCCCCATGCCATTGAGTTGTAAAGGACCCAGGTGCCTCTCTTTGGATTATGCATGCCCAGTAAATCTTAATCCTAGCAAGCTGTCCCTACAACCACTAGGATTCAAGCAGCACATGTGTGGATCAAATCTTAACAGTAAGTTTATGGAAGCCCATTTCATTTGAGTTCTCTCATGTTGCTTTCTAATTAATAGCAGGTTCAGTTGCTCCCAGGAAGGAAATAGATTAAATCTATTCTCTTAGGTGGAATTTACAAGAGAGAAAAACCATTTTGCTTCAAATTACTGTACACCATATTTGTGATTTTGTCTTTTTTAAAATTCAAATCCCAAGGGGTATGTTTTAGCCAAACCTGGCAAACTTGGTTCAGCCTATCTTATTCTCAACCACCACTGTTTCTCACACACCCAGATGTGAAGCAAAGGTGGAGTCTGTATGAGCTCTGTTTCTGCAGAATTCAACTGCAACAGCAAAGTGTGGTGCCTAAGGACCCTATTCCTCTTGTTCCTCTGCTCAATTACCTGTACTATTAATTATGCTGTGATTTAAATCAAGCAAACTCAGGGAGAAAAATCCACCTTATGATATGAAGATTTCAGTAGCAATCTTCAGCCTTAAGCACTATCAGACCTAGTTTTTTGCTATTTGCAGAAAGTCACCCCAGGATTCAGCCGAGCACAATGTCTTAACAGAGAGAATATCACTCCTCAAATCTGGGGTGCCTGTGGTAGCCACTCTAAAATCTTGGCCTTGGATTTGTTTCCCCCCCCAAAGCATTTTCTGCTCCAAGCGTATCTTTAGTTGAATGATCTGGACTGTGTGCAAATCTCAGTGACGCTGGAACTATTCGGAAGTCACCTGTTTTCTCACTGAGTTTAGTTCCAGGAATTAAGATCAGCCCAACTAACTATGGTCTCCAGAAGCTGAATGCAATCCCTGATATGGTATATATCTCCGTTACTTCAGCACTCTTTTGATGAGATTTTCCTTTTCTTCGTCTGATGTTTCACATTTTCAGTCGCAGTATAAAGTTTAGTGATGCTGCAGTGGGGTCTGTTGTATTTTTATTTTTTTTGGTCAAGTTTAGGTTTCTTAGCCACCTTGCCTCCTATAGAAATTTGGGAAGAAACATGGTTTTGGTGACTGTCTTTGCAAAGAAATAAAAATGTCCACAAATAAGGCTACAGATCAACCTCTGCCTAACCTCTCTGCTTCACATGCTTTTCCCCAGCAGTGGAGCTAGTCTTCCCTTGATAATGGCCTTATAGCACTAGTTTCTCTGTGGTAAGAGTAAGGATATGTAGAAGGCAAGAGTTCGACACAAGACGTTCAGTCCAGCCATTGAGTACCAAAAGCAGTTCAGGGAGCTCTGATGTCCTCCTACAGGCCAGAGACCATCACGCGAAAAGATGGTGGCACATGTCTGTGCCGCGGACTGGCACTGGGGCTGACACATGGACTGGCACAGCTGGCATCAACTCCTCCAATGGATGGCAAATAAGCATGATGAAGAATGGGCAGCTGTAAGGAGAGCCGCCGCTGTATGCTGTGAAGAAAGAACACAGAAAGATAAGGGCACTTAGCCAGGTATTCAGTACTGTCAAGGGCTGCTAGCAAAGGGCCTCTCATTTTAGGATGCATCCACTGGGAACCATACTAGAATCTCAAACGATTTTGTAGCCAGTTTGCCAAACCCAGGACCCGAGCAGAACATCCTCCTAAGCTCTGTTCTTTCCTTTCTTACTAAATTATTCTGTAGATTTCAACCCACTGCTTTGTGTTTTTATTCCTTTATGGAATATAGTCGGTATTTACCCAGGGCAAGATTAATACCAGGGAAGGGCTGGTATAATACAGCATGATACTCTATACATATTTTCCGGACTGCACGTTGATGTAAACCACGATGTGGGGCTTTGGCGATATCATATGGTGGGGGTTTATGATCATGATTCAGATAGATTGGTGTGGGGGAGGGGAATGGGAGGTAGGTAAGGATACAGAAGGGATAGATAGCATGGGGAGAGAAAGGAATGTAAATAAAAATTAGGCGGTGACAAATAGGCAGGGGAGGAGGCGCGGGAGTAGATAATGCAGCAGCGGATGTCAGGTTGTTAGCTGGGAGGAACTAGAGCACAGCATAAAAGGCACTGAGAGGCAGATGCTCTCAGCGTTGACTTTATTCGGGAAATACCATTTTTGCTTATCAGGACTGGAACTGCTGTAATAGATTTCACCATACCAATTGCGAGTAGAGTGATTTATTAGCAAGATACTCCAGTCCCCAGTTGATGCTGAAAACATGACTATAAGGATTTCAGACTTTTAGGGGGCCATCTCTATGTATTCAAAAGTTAAAATTTTCCCAAATTATCAGACAATTACTAGTTTGTCGCAATTTTTTTTTTTAAGGAACATGTTTTGTATAATCGATATGCAGATTTAAAATTAAGATACTTTTAATTCTTGTGAGCATCTAGTAAGAAAGAATTACTTTACTTACTGTTCTGGGGAGTTGATATCTTCTATAAAATCTTTGCTTGTTCTGGACGACTCTGTAGTATTCCATTGTGCTTGTGGATTTTGATCAAGATGATTTTTCAACACTGTTTTTTCACCATCTGGACCAAAAGAATTTTTTTTTCAGACATTTATTTAAGGAGTATTATGATGCATTTTTCTATACAGTACATTATTTGCAAAACAATGTAATTATTTTACAAACTAGAATATTATTTCTCAAAATTATTCATTTGATCTAAAATCTACGTCTTAACTGGACAACAATAATTTTGTGGTAATTATAAAATATTTCTTATTCAGATTGAAACAAATTATAAACAAATTAGATAAGAAAGAAGAAATTTGTTTCCCAAAAGTAGCATTTACAAAACACACACACACACACACAGACAAAATCAGTAGTCTAAAATCAGAATTATAAATAAACTCAGTTGAACTGAAGAAACTTCTTGCATGAGAAGCTAAACGTTTTCAAGGAAAAGCATCTTTGGGACAACCATGACCTGGATGATTGAGAATATCCATAAATGGAAACACTGAACCTCATTGCCCCAGTATTCAAGTTAGGTTTATTAAAGATCTCCTTATTTTAATTCATAAATTCATTTCTTTGTGTTCTATAGGAGAGAAATGAGGTGTACGGTCTCATTCCTTTCTCTTCCTTATATTAGATCAGGATCTGGGTTAGAGAGCAATGTATGAGAATCTTAGAATGGTGACTAATAAAATAGATGATTAGAACTGAGTTATGCAGATCAATGTGGATTAAGTTCCAAGAATGGGAAAGAGATCAAGATAAAAAAAAAATCTCTGTACTATTGCTTTTGTAGATTGCTGGGGAAAACTGTATTAATGTGGTTGCCTACAAAATTTCACTGACATTTATGAAACATACTGTCATCATAGCATAGTGCTGGCTCTTGTTCTGTTTTACCACATAAGAAACACATGGAACCAATGTCTTTCATATAACCAAATCTTTATTGGGCCTTATATATTCCATACCTTTGCTTTCTGTAAAATTGCGTATACTGAGAATATCATTGAGCTCCTGATAGTGGTTCTGTTTAATATATGTTGTTTTTTCAGGTGTGTCCTGAAGCTGCATTGTGACTTCTTCTAGAGCTTTGTCCAACTGTTAAAGAAAAGCATGTTATAAAAATATGAAAACATTTGTTATCATTCATTCTCCTTTTTTTCATCCTACTTTTTATGGACACTAGGTTAGTGTTATATTTTTATTTAAACTATGCATAAAGATACACATATAAAGAACTTAAACTACAGTACTATTATTCATCTGTGGAGACTATAGATCATAAAAAATCCTTTACTGATTGCTAGTGTCTATATGTGTGTGTGTGTGTGTGTCTGTGTCTGTGTATAATATATATATGTTTGTGTGTGTGTGTGTGTGTGTGTGTGTGTGTGTGCCTGTGCCTATATAAAATCTCCTTCCTCTTTTAGTGCTGTTTCATTGCTGAATTTCCTGTGCATATGATAGAATGTACCCAACATTTTAAAAAAGACACACCAGTTTTGTCCTGTAAATGAATACCTTGTTATCTGATCATGCATTTAACCATAAGTACTAAGTTTCTTACATATATCAAACCAGTTCTCCGTTTGATGAATAACAGATAACACAATAGAAATGGTAATGTAAGATGAAATGTCAAGGTAAGGACTACTTGTTTTAATTTAATTTCTCATGTGTCATTCCATACTACATGTTAAAACTAGACCTTGTTAAGTTGTTATAGATGGGTTTATCAATTTTGACACCTGCTATAGGCAACTTTGGGAAACTTTCTTCCTCTAATCCTTCTCATCCTCCCAAGCAGCGCCAAGAATCTAAACAGTCCCCAAGGTATATAATGGCATTATAAAAACCTGGAAAACATTCTTTCTTGGTAGCTAGATGGTGGCTGTTATCAAATGGGTAGTTAAGGAAATAATTTTATTTAAATGTGAAATCAAATGAAAAGGAGAACTTTGCACTCTCCATCTTGACATTCCATCTGTTTCCCCAAGTACTGTAGATTGTTTAATGCAGAACATATAGAGGAAAATTTATAAGGATAAATGCTAGCGTTTTGTTCCTTGGAAAACATTCTCAGATAAATCTTTGATCATTAAAGATAGCTGACGAGATCTTTCCTACAACTTCTCAAGCCACCCAGCTGATTCACAGCCTTAAGCCTTATAATGTTTTTATACCTGAAGAGTGAAGTTGCTTCAATTAATAATCAAGAGTGAACTTGCTTCAATTAACTTTGTAATGTGATTATAAAACCTAAATTAGCTGAGATGTTCAAGCTTCAAATGCTTGTCCTCAGCTCTCTGTTACAAATGAATTAATAAATAACAAGAACCATCATATTAATTTAAGCAATGCAAAAGAACCTGAAGTGCATTTAAACCTCTCATGCAAAATCACTTTAAGATTTGAATCTTCTGGCATGACTGAATTTCATCACTCTCCACATTTCCACTAAAAATAATGTTCAAGGTAGCTCACAGTAACCCATAGATAAATCAACAGAGTTAAAATTAAAACATTAAAGTTCTCTAAATTAAAACAATAAAAGTAGGCAATAGCCCATCAAATTAAAACCTAATGCACTTCAGCAGAAAGTTAGCAGGTATTAAACTATTAAACACCCATGTTTGCCTGGTGAAGGAAGCAGAGATGAAGCTATTCTAGCTTCTCTCGGTAGACATTTCCAAAAGGTGGAGACAGTCACAGATAATGGCTTATGATTATGAACTGTGATTTCTGTCATGAGCGGAGGAATATTTATCAAGAGAGTTTGTCCCTAGTGAAGTCACTAAGGAGCCTCTGTGGTGCAGTGGTTAGAGTGCAGTACTGCAAGCTACTTCTGCTGCAGCCAGCTGCCTGCAATTTGGCAGTTCAAATCCCATCAGGCTCAAGGTTGGCTCAGCCTTCCATCCTTCCGAGGTGGGTAAAATGAGGACCCAGATTGTTGGGGGCAATATGCTGACTCTATAAACTGCTTAGAGAGGGTTGTAAAGCACTGTGAAGTGGTATATAAGTATAAGTATTATTGCTATAAGCCCTACAAGATAGACTGACTGGAGCAGAAAACTTACTCCAGGGAAAATTAGAATTATACCCTTTTAGTGACAAAATTTTGCAAATCTACTTGTTGTTGACATAATGATTTCTGGAGTTGTTATCCAAAGCAATCTCCATGGCTTCCTATATATGCTTTTAAAAATATTACCCTTAGAATAACCTATTTAGCATCTTCCTTTACTTTGGCTGTCACATTAGACAGGTATGAATATTATAATATATCATGCTCATATTTACCAGGTTTTACATGACTTCCATACTGTCTCATTAGAGCTTTGTATGTGTGTTTTACATAGTGTATATTTGTGTGTGTGTGTGCATATGTGTAAAAACATATAAATGGTAGGTCAGATTAAAACGAATACATTTTAAATCTAAAATGAAAGCCAAAGCAAATTCAAGTATTCATATTTTTCCTAAGGATGCTCCTAAATGAAGCCACAGACCTAGCAGATGGTCAGTAGCAAACTCCATATAATAAATAGTCCAGTCATTATCATCAGTGCAATTAAACTTCATTGCAATCCAGCTAAATTTTGGAACATTATGTTCCACTTGAGTTTGGTGAGATAGATTTGGGAAGAGTATGTAAATTTCTTCTCCTTTCCATTCCATTATTACCAGTTATTTAAAATGGCAGTGTTCCAGTATTCTAGCCAAGATGCAGCATCAACTGGGGAAGAGGAGAAAGTTATCAATAAAATCTCATTCAATTATGGAGATTGGTTAGTGTAAGAATCATTGAGACACATGTATAAACTCATTGTGGTGCAGTTGGGATTTTTTTTTCTGCTGGATTTAAATTAGGAAGCCCTTTTTAATACTTTTGAGGAAATTGTATTCCATTTCCTCACCTTTCCCCACTTTGTTATAGGAGAAAAGGGTAGTATTGTATTCTGAGTTGGCTAGTTAGCATTAGATGTCAACTTGATGGTACATAATCTATCATCTATTTTTTTCTCTCTTTCTCCCTCATGGTATTTTTGCACTGAGTTAAAATGGCTGAGGGATTTATCTTTCTCTGTATACTCAACTCTCCAGTGATATACCTAAATTACCAGTTGGCTGCAAAATGGATAACAGTCATAGAGAAAGTGCTGGGGAACCTGACCTCTGCATCGCGTAATCTCTATTTCTGTTCTTTCATAAACTTGATTGATTGGGAAAGCCAATATCTTCTCTATGCTCTTTATCTGATACTTGGGGAAGTTAATTATCTCCAGATGTTACAATGTGTCATAAGTACCTTGATTAAGTATTTGCATTATATAATCAAGTATTTTTATTATATAAATACAAAACACATCTGCTCAGGACCAGCAAGAGTAGGGAGGCAGCTCACTCAAGAAGCAGACTGGGAAGAAAAAAGATCAAGGTCCTACCCCAAACTTTGCTCTGAAGACTTAGAACAAGACTACTCACTCCAATACTTCACTTTGAGAAATGCAACCACATATCCATGCAGTTTTCTGGACTAGGAATTAAATCCAAATCCTTGCTATCAGGAATTCTTCAGAATTTGGTATTGCTGGGTGGGTGGGTGTGTCTTGTGATAGCAGGCACATAAAGGCAGGAAAATATATCTTAGGTAGAGGATCTGCTTGGGCTGTCATTACTCTACTCTTTCAGCCCTAAAAACTGGATTTGAAGCAAGTTTCCCCTTCCTTTTTTCCAGGTCTTCAACAGTTTCCTGAAATCTCAGGAGGAAGGGGAGCCATTCCAGAGGGTAGGAATTGCAACAGAAATAGGCGTGTTTCCTGGGTCCTGCAAGATTACATTCTTTAATTGATGGGGCCCAAAGTGCACCCTCCCTGTTGTACTGTACTGGACAGGTACAGATAACTGGAAATGTTTGTTTTCTCATTATCTTCTGACTAGGTTTGCCTTCGCTGCTGGTGAGAAGAGCCAAATGGAGATGAATGATAAATCAGAATTTTCAGCAATTCCACTAATAATTTCATTTAAGCATGGCCACAGTCATTTTAGCAATATGTTGGATTTTGTCATTGCACATTACATTAAACACCTTTTAAAAAGAATAATTAAAGTAGTCCCACTAGAGTACATATGGATTAGGATGCTAGAAAATGGGCACGGTGGGTTATGAAATCTGCCTTTATTGTACTAAAAATGAGTTAATGTTCAATAACATGGCTTTATTTTTGAAATGTTTTACTTCTTGATGTGTAGAAAATCAATTACAAGTAATACTAGCAATAAATAGTATCAGCAAAATAACGGATGACTGTTCTGTTCTAATAATAATGATTTTAAAAAATCCTGCCTGAAAGTACTATCAGTTCATAGCTAAAAATACATTCTACATTTGATAGGGCAACAGCAATATTAGGAAATAGAAATTAGAAGACAATTATTCTGAAAAAATGAACAAATTATCTCCATTTATGAGGTTAATGCCTGGTATGGAGGCTGGGGGTTACATACAAGGAAAACATGGCCAGTTTAAAATGTGGTTCTTTATATTTAATTTGTTTTGACTCCAAATGTGAATGGCTTCCTGGCTGTACAAAATGAGCTTGCATGCAAAGTCAATAGGACACAATAAAAACAGGTAATACCTCTGTTATTTTCATTCTAAGCTGGTGGTTCTCTGACTGTAGCCCTTCTAATCGAGATGTGCTGGCTTGGTTGACACTGGTGACAGATGTTGATGTTTTTGAATCATCTTTCTTCTGATTTTGGGTGAACTGAAGGCCTCTGTTCCGAGTCGCAGCATCTGGATTTGTTTTCAGAGTAATTAACTGAAAAATGTTAAGAGCAATGAGATAATCCTTAAGGAAAATAATTGAGTTATAAACTATATTTGCCCCTCCATCCCTTAATAGACTGTACAAATAAAGGTTATTGAGCACACAGATAATTCAACTATCAAGTTTATAGTTTGCAGCAGCAACCAGCTCATTTTCCACATACACATGACTTAAAATTATTTAGCTACATATAATCCCATTCCCAGCTTGCAAAAATTATTGCACCACTGAGCTTCTAGAAATCCATGCAAGTAGCCTCAGTCTTGCAATGATTCCTTACCACCTCAGCACATCCATTCTATGGATGTACTCTATGCATCTGATGAAGTGAGATGGAGCTCAGAAAAACTTGTGTTTTTCAATAAAATGTGTTTAATTGAAAAAAGGTGCTACTAGATTCTTAATTTTTATCATCACAGATTAATACAGGTCTCTCCTTCCTATGTCTAGAATTACAGATAATTGTGAAATAATGTCCAACCTACTACGGGCAATCTTGATTATGATGATGATTTCCAGCCTTTTTATATATACAACTTGAGACAGGAAACACCCTGCGATGTGGTAACCATCACATGCAACTGGCTCTCACCTTATAGGAGAAGTTGAGCCAAGTCTTCCCTTTTGCATAGTTCCTCCTCATTCGAAAGCAACTTCATAGTGGAGACAGCCACCTAATTGCTGTACACAATCATGTGCAAATAAAACCATTCATTACAAATCAGATTACTTACCTTAGGTACAAAGACTAAGCAGAGGGTAATGGTGCTACAAAATATAATGACTAGTGCCACAATGCAGAACTGTACATTGGGCTGGTCTCGTGTAAGAAAGGAAACCGCAGCTCCAATGATGCACATGATGCCCACATTATAAACACTCATGCCGATGTATTTACTGTCGTTCAGAGCAGGAATGCTCACATTTCGAGTCTCCCAAGCTAAAAAACAGCCAAATAGCTGAAACCAGAAAAAAAAAAAAGGAAGGCATACTATAATAAAAGTTTTTCATTTTTGAAAACAAAATTGCATTCATATATAGAAACTGGGAGGAAGAGACGGCCCTCCCCAACAAACAAGTAAAACAGAAAGGATAACACACATTATAGACATAGAATGTAGCTCTTTAAATACAATATTAAATCTGGATCAGAAGGAAGCTGTTTTACTGTTTCTATTCTTGTGCATTAGACAATGTAATTCCTGCACTAAAATTTTTAGGTGCTTAGTTTGACAAATGCAAATATATTTAATTTCCATTGATGAATCTGATAACTAAGTCTTCTTTTAAAATGAGTAGAATTTTAAAGAGTTTAACACTGATTTGATAACACTTTATTGTATTTAATTTCAGATCAGGGAGGGGGATGGGTGGAGTTACTGCTATAATAATGTCTACTTACACATTCCTATAACCACATTACTTACCAGAGGGCACTAAGCGCAGCCTAAACAAGAAACATAAAGGAGCTTAATATACAGTAGTAGCTGCCTTATCGCTGCTGATCATTAGCTAGAAAGAGTTGTTAAAGTGTTAGGTTAGGAATTGGGACTCCCAGGTTGAAGCTTACCCACAACCATCAAATTCACAAATAGGTGACCCAGTTATTTTGTTCTAGCTCAACATTCCTTTGTGGTAAGGAAAAAAAATGGAGGAGAGTATTATGTGTACACCCAAAGCTCCTGAAGGAAAGGCAGGACAGAAATCTAACAAACAGCACATGAGACGAACATATTATTTATATTTCTGTAATTGAAACATTAAGTTATAAAACCAGGTTCATTGCTAAAGAGCCATTAAAGGTATTTCCAATACTGGGTACAATTGTATTAAGCTAGAATGACTGATGTTTTTATCAAGTCGTATGTTTCAAGGTGCAGTGAAGGTACTTTGAACGGTCAGTCACAAGATAATCAATACTATTTGCTTTCACTTATTGTATTTAAAGGGCAGAAACCCATGATTACACTGATCAATGAGAATACTAGATGTAAAAGCTCTGACTCGGGTCATCATAATCTTAGTAGTCAAGCTTTTAATACACAGCTTTCATTTGTCCAAACCACATTCTCCACCTTTATATGTATATGTATATGTATATGTATATGTATATGTATATGTATAT